GCTGATCCGATGGCAGGAGCGGTACTTATCCTGGTCTCCCATGGGGTGCAGGGCCCAAGCACTTGGGCCATCCTCCACTGCACTCCCTGGCCACGGCAGAGAGCTGGCCTGGAAGAGGGGCAACCGGGACAGAATCCAGCGCCCTGACCAGGACTAGAACCTGGTGTGCCGGCGCCACAGGGTGGAGGATTAGCCTAGTGAGCCTCGGCGCCGGCCTTCCTTTAGTTTCTATAAGGGTTTAGTAGGGGATGCAGTAGAAGGGACAGGAAATGAGGTATTTACCATAGCCTAGCTAGCACAGTAAGGGTTTGGTTTGGAGGCAGAAAAGAACTAACAGCAAAGAGAATGATGGGAGTGAAGCGTTTAGATAGAGGTAGGTAGGACGATAAGAGATTTTGTTTTAAAAAGTTTGTATGGGGCCGGCGCCGTGGCTCAATAGGCTAATCCTCCACCTTGCGGCGCCGGCACACCGGGTTCTAGTCCCGGTCAGGGCGCCGGATTCTGTCCCGGTTGCCCCTCTTCCAGGCCAGCTCTCTGCTATGGCCAGGGAGTGCAGTGGAGGATGGCCCAGGTGCTTGGGCCCTGCACCCCATGGGAGACCAGGAAAAGCACCTGGATCCTGGCTCCTGCCATCGGATCAGCGCGGTGCGCCGGCTGCAGCGGCGGCCATTGGAGGGTGAACCAACGGCAAAAGGAAGACCTTTCTCTCTCTGTCTCTCTATCTCACTGTCCACTCTGCCTGTCAAAAATTAAAAAAAAAAAAAAAAGTTTGTATGTTTGAGGCATAAGGCATAAAATGCTACTGTAGTAGATGTCTTCTTGGACTCTGCTATTTTTAGGTTGTTTTGTTTGTTTGTTTGTTTTAACTTACGATTTAGGAACTTCTCAGAGTCTGGGAAACCAGAAATGCCACGATTAAAAAAAAAAAATGAACAAAGCTGTTTCTCTACAATAAGTATACACATAATATTAAGTCAATAAGCAATATACCCTCACTATACTATAACAATAGATTCTATTTCCATAATTAAGCTTGCAGCTTGAGTATACTCTCGGATTCTGAAACAGAATTGTCTCTACTGTAATTCACTTTGCTGGTTGTTGCTGCCCTCTGTTGGACTACTGAAGAAATGCAGCTTTTGTACTGCACCTATTTCTTACTATCTTTATAAAACTGAACTGAGTGCTAAAATATGGGCAGTTCTGAAAATTGATTTAGTTATTTGAGAGCCAGAAAAACAGAATGAGAAACAGATCTCCCATCCACTGGTTCACTTCCCAAATGTCTCAAGGCCCCGGGTCAGAGGCCTGGAGCTGGAAACTCAATCCCTGTTTCCCACATGGGTGGCAGGAACCTGATTATTTGAGTCATCACTGCTGCCTCCAACAGTTTGTGTTAGCAGCAAACTGGAATGAAGAGATGGAGCCAGGTCTAACAGAGGAGACACGGGCGTCTTAACTAGCATTTTACCAGCAGGCACCTGCCCGCCCCTTGTAAGTGTTTTAAAGAATCAAAGGTGGCCGGCGCCGCGGCTCACTAGGCTAATCCTTCACCTTGCAGCGCCGGCACACCAGGTTCTAGTCCTGGTCGGGGCGCTGGATTCTGTCCTGGTTGCCCCTCTTCCAGGCCAGCTCTCTGCCGTGGCCAGGGAGTGCAGTGGAGGATGGCCCAAGTGCTTGGGCCCTGCACCCCATGGGAGACCAGGATGAGTACCTGGCTCCTGCCATCGAATCAGCGCGGTGCGCCTGCTGCAGCGTGCTGGCCGCGGCGGCCATTGGAGGGTGAATCAACGGCAAAAGGAAGACCTTTCTCTCTGTCTCTCTCTCTCACGGTTCACTGTGCCTGGTCAAAAAAAAAAAAAAAAAAACACAAGAATCAAAAGGTGCCTCTAAAGATGCCTCTGTAAAGCACAAGAGAATATTATATTCCTTTTTAAGAACAGATGCATTTGCTTTTCTAAAGTCAAGAGTTAGTAGGCATTATTAAGTAGGAACATGGCAGGAGAACTGGGGGTTTGCAAATATTTTGGGATTTTGGAATCTGGATACCTGAGTTCCAGTTCCAACTCAGACCCTAATCATGTGACTTCAGTGGTTTATGTTCCTGTCTGGGTTTCAGTTTCTTCACTGAGACAATGAAGAGATGGAGTAGACTCAAGGCTTCTCCAGGGATTGGTGTTTTGGGGAAGCAGCCCCAGGTTATCATATTTGTTTATAGAAGATATAATGACTAAATTCCAGGCTCTGCTCTCAAGGAACTTAGTCTGGAAAGGGTAGAGGAGTCAGACAATCAAAAGACAATAATAATCCACTATTAGTGCTGGGAGACAGCCAAGTGCTTGTTACTGTGGAAACACTGAGAGAGGTACCCATGCAATTAGAGGAGACATGGTGCTGTTTGGCCTGTTGGAGTTAGCCTTGAAGGCACCGTCTAGACTGAGGAGGCAGCAGCCTGGGGAGGTGTGGGGTGGTGAGGGCATTAGGTTGTGGGTATGCAGCTGGTTCAGTATGATCAAAAGATAGTGTTTGAGGTGGAGTGATGCATGAGACTAGGGAATAAAACCCAGAGGGGTCATATATGCTAGGAGATTTGGATCTAACCTAAGGGCAGTGGGGAGCTATTGAAGAATTTTAATGGAGAAATAGCATGGACTGCTTGGCTTTTTAGAGATTACTCTTGGATGTAGCATGGAAAATGGATGTGATTTGGGGCAGACAGAACTGAAGGCAGGGAAATCAGTTCAGAGTCTGTTGTAGAAAATCCAGCTGGAGACGGTGATGGCATGAATCTGAGCAGTGATACTGGAAATGGATGGGGGAGAGGTGTATAAGCAGAAAGAAAGAGTTGCCGGTTTGCTTTAACTTAAGCTGCAGCTGTGAATGTGTGTGTGTGTGTGTGTGTATTACTTCATATTATTACCAGAGTTGTTTGCAAACATTGGTTTGGTTCTTTGTGAACATTTTGAGCTTAGGGAACAGGTTTTGGAAGCAATTCTCTAGGAGCAAGTAAGTTTAATCTTGGATATGGCAACCTAAACTGTATATACTCATTTCGTTTGTGGTTTGTTCCACTTCTGTTTTCCAAGTGACTTAGAGTGGTGACAAAAGGAACTGTGTTGTTGGTCTCCGTAGGTGGTACTTTCTCTGCCTCTTCATCCTTCTGCCTTTGCTCCCTGTAAGCAGCACATGCAGATAACCATAAATTCATGGAAGCCTGGCAGGGTCCTTAGGGTGTCAGGTGAGTGATTAGCACTCAGCTGGTGGAAGCTTGACCTCCTCTGGACCATAGAGGGTGATATTAATTCCCACTGTGCATTGAATTTAACTGTATTGTGATGTGGGGAACATGGGTGTCATGATACGGATTTTTCCTATCCATAAAAAGATTAGAATAATAATTTTGTGGCAGGGCCATAAGTAGTTTTTAATTAGTTGAGGAAGATTCACCAAGGGACATTTATTGAACTCTTCCAGAACATTAACATGAAAGAAATATGGTTTACAATTAGGTCAAAGAAAGATTGCTGCTTTCTTAAATCTGCGGATATTTTTACCCTAAAATAGAACATGTACACAGAAGAGAACAGGAAACATACAGAATGATTATAAACTTCATGTAGTCAAAATCCATTAATTAATGTATCCCGCAAATCACTTTGTCTCTTTCCCCGTCAGAATTCTTTTTTTTAAGGTAATGCCAGTTTGTCCCATTGTTAGTGATGTCAATTTTTTTAAAGTTTTATTTTGGGACCGACGCCATGGCGTAGTGGGCTAAAAACCTCCACCTGTGGTGCTGACATCCCATATGGGTTCGGGTTCATGTCCCAGCTGCTCCTCTTCCCATCCAGTTCTCTGCTAATGGCCTGGGAAAGCAATGGAAGATGTCCCAAGTGCATGGAGCCCTGCACCCACGTGGGAGACCCAGAAGAAGCTCCTGGCTTCGGATCAGCTCATCTCTGGCCATTAATGGCCATCTGGGGAGTGAACCAGGGAATGAAAGACCTTTCTGTCTCTCCCTCTGTCTCTAACTCTACGTTTCAGATAAATAAATAAATCTTTTTAAAAATTTTATTCATTCTTATTTGAAAGGCAGTGTTAGAGGGAGAGAAAGAGAAGAAGATCTTCTATCTACTGGTTCACTCCCCAGATGGCCCAAGAGCAAGGGCTATTTTTGGACTGGGTATGGCCAAAGCCAGCAGCCAGGAACTCCGTCTGGGTCTCCCATGTGGATGGCAGGGGCTCAAGTACTTGTGCCACCCTCTACTGATTTCCCAAGTACATTGTGGGAGCTGAATCAGAAGTAGAGCAGTTGGGCCTCGAACCAGCACCCATATGGGATGCCAGTGACTCAGGTGGTGGCAGCTTCGACTGCTGTGCCACAATGCAGGCCCCCACCTTCTACTCTTGATAGTTGTCCAGATTGTTGTGTTTAGGTGTTCTAGTGTTACTCTGCACACTCTTGTTACATGGGTGCTGCCACATATGTGCAATTATCAGCAGGATAGAAACATAGCAGTAGGTTTGTTGACTTGCAATGTGTGTGCATACTAGATAGTGCCTTCCTGGTTTCCAGAGAACCTATGGCTGTGTTTATACCACCACCAGCTGTGGTGAGAGTGCCTGCTGCCTTACAAGTAGACAGACCTGCAGATTCTTGCCCATTTGAGGTGTGAAGTGGTATCTCATCGTGGATTGCATTTACATCTCCTTGTTTGTTTACTATGGAGTTCACATTCATGAGTTTGGCAGTCATCAGTTGTATAGTCAGTTCAATTCTCAATCTTTGAAGAGTCATGGTAATGTCCGTAAGACTCTTCCAGCCCCTTACCTGAGAGAGTGTGCTAAGAATACTTTGGTAGAAATTCAGCGTGCAAAAAGTTGGAAAGATCCTTTCAGTTTGTTTTCTCTGCCTTTTTCACCAACCCATCTGGTGTTTGGAAGGTTTCTTGGCATTTCACTGATCTCTCTTCTCTTTCTTATTCCTTTTTTCTATTTCCTAGACTCTGAAGCGGCTCATGGCAGATGAGGTAAGGAAATTTTGTTTGGCATGTGCATGTTCTGTCTCATTTCCTAACTTGGACGTTCTGTGATTATAATGGTTAATGGGGTCTAAGAATACGAAGTTTTTCCTAACTCTTGGCTCTGCATTTGGCTGACTGCATGCATTTCCTTGGCATGTTCATTAGCTTCCAAAGTTAGGCACGCTCTTTAAACTCTAAGCAGACTCACAGTTTGGAAGCCACTTGTGACACTGGAAGCTCACAGTGCTTGCAGGTATTACTCTTATTTTCAAATGGATTGAGCCAGTAAGCGGGAGCATCTGTACCTGAGGCAGTGGTTCATTGGTGGAGGGATGGCATGTGTACCTCTGAGGTACCTGATATTCTTTGCTGACTAGATGTCATGCAAAGAGCATAACACAAGTGCTGTGAAGTGAACGGAAGAGAATGGTTCCTGGTTTTGAGGTATGTAGTTGTTTATCCTGTTTGACTTATAGCTATTAAAATCTGTGCTCATAGTTACCTCTTGAAGAGAGGGATCCTCTGGGCGCCAGGGCACATTTATTTTTGGATAGCATGGAGGAAACAAAGGGCATTTTATTGATAGCTCTGAACGGGACACGATTTTAGTTCTGTGCTACTAGAAGGGTAAGGAATGACAGGGGAGATCAGAAACCTAGTTCTTTCCTTTTAGGGAGATTTGGAATCTTTGTGCTTCAGTCCATTTATCATTGAATGTGGATGAGAACACAGACTTGGTATAGTACTTTAGATATGAGGAAGGCTGATTTGTTCTTTTCATGGCAGGAAAGTCCTGAGCTCATAAACCGGAGGAACCATGCATATGTATGAAGTTAAAGGGTAGTTTTTGTGTAAATGAAAATGGATCTCTAATATTTTTTTTTTTCCTCAGCTGGAGAGATTTACTAGCATGAGAATAAAGAAAGAAAAGGAAAAGCCCAATTCTGCTCATAGAAATTCTTCTGCATCATATGGAGATGATCCCACAGCACAGCCCTTACCCGATTATTCAGATGAGCAAATTTTAGTTCTCTTCGAACAGATGTTGGTAAGTTTCCCACTTCCAAATTTCGTTTGTTCTTAAAAATGCATTTATGAGCATGGTGGGCTCTTTTTTAATACACATTTCCTCTTCAGTAGCCCTTTATTATAAAGAATTCCAAGCTTAATATAGAACTTTTTAATATTAATCCTGTTACCCAAGGGACTAAATGTACAAGAACCAGTCTGTAAGGTTAGAATCTGTGAGTAGACTTGGAAATATCAGATCACTTACCATCTTTTAATTGTCCTTCTGCTCAGCGATGTCTTAGCCTCAAAGACATAGGTGATTCCACCTGTGGTACTATAGACCCCACCTTTTGGTTAAGCCAGAGTAGATGAAGTATTGTAGCATTCACAATGAACTCCACACGAAGAAGAAACTAGAGATGGTAAGGCATTGTTTGCCCACAGTACCCAATTAGTGGTGAGTCTGGAAAGAGAGTGCTGATGCTACTATAATCACTAGAAGACCTTTGAAGTGGAGTTTGAAGTATGGGTGAATGTTACTATCTTCTGTGAGGCACACTCAGTGTCCACTAGTTGAAAGTCTTAGAAAGTTGAGTATCTGCTTTATAAGGTTTCATAAAACCTTTGTGTTGCAGGGACTCAGACTCAAATAGAGACTGGTAGCAGGCCTGACTTAATTAAAAGGCTTAAAATCCTTAACTCAGGGCCTGTTACATAGTAATCACCCAACTATGCTACTGCTATTATTTTTCACTGACTCTTTCAGTCTGTGTATTTGTTTACATTTATTTATTTTCATTTTGTTCGAAAGGCTGAAAGACCTTCCATCTGCTGGTTTACTCCCCAAATGGCCACAATAGCCAGAGCTGGGCATACTGAAACCAAGAGCCTGGAACTCACTTCAGTGGCGGGGATCCAACTACTTGAGCCATCATTGGCCTCCTAGGCATTAGCAGGAAGCTGGGTCCGAAGTGAAGGAACCGGGACTCGAATCATGCCCATCTATATGGGAAGTGGGTGTCCAAACTGCGACTTAACTGCTATGCCAAACACTTAGCCCTCGATCTGTCTCTTAATATTCAAAGAGTGTTAAGGGTATAGTTTATCAAGACAATCTCTTAGCACTGGATTGCAAATTTAGATGGCTTTTGGGCCATACAGGTCACATACATAAATTAAACAGGGTGGACAGACTATGCTACAAAGGAAAAGAGAAAGTGGTAAATGAAAAAGGGACTTCTGACATTTTTGTTAATAAGATAGGTCACAGCTCAGTTCTGGAAGGTGATAGTATTCTACTGGGAATGTTAGCCCATTCCAAAGTGATATAGAGCCACAGATTTTTCTGTTTTTCAAAAGCAGCCAGAAATCTATAATTTAATTTTTGAAAATAATTCTTGAGTAATATCACATATTGTAGGATTTGTATTTCCCAAGATAGGTCATTTTTTAAAAAAAATTGTTCAAATCAAAATTCCAAGTTAGGTCCATTATACTGATATCCTCAGTTTCATTTAAAAAAAAAAAAAGATTATTTGAAAGGCAGAGTTACAGAGAGCAGGAGATCCTCCATCCACTGGCCCAGCCCTGACCTCCTCAACTGGCTGCCAAGGCCAGGGCTGGGCCAGGCCAAACCTAGGAGCCTGAAATTCTATCCTGGTCTCCCATGTGGGTGGCAGGAGACCAAGAACTTGACCATTATCTACTGCTTTCTCGGGTATCTTGGCAGGGAGCTGCATCAGAAATTAAACCTCTGGAGTTTGAATTGGCATTTAACCTGCTGTGCCACAATGCTAGCTGTTATTCATTTTCATTAAGTCCATAGATTTCCTTTTCTCTTTTTTAATTCTCACTATTGATGTAGAAAATTTGACCCATTGGATTTCCCACAATCTGAAATTTGATACTTTTATCCTTTGGTGCTGTTTTACCAGAGATCTGTATTTTTTTTTTTTTTTTTATGAAAGATCATTTATTTATTTGTTTGAAAGGCAGAGTTATAGGGTGGCGGGAGAAGGTTGAGAGAAAGATCTTCCATCTGCTGGTTCACTCCTCATATAACCTCATATAACCACGCTGAAACCAGGGAAATTTATTTATTTGAAAGGCAGAGTTAGAGGGAGGAGGGAAAGACAGATCTGGTTTACCTCCTAAATGGCTGTAATGACCAGGGCTGGGACAGCTGAAGCCAGGAGCTTCCTCTGAGTGTAGGGGTCCAAGCACTTGGACCATCTTCTGCTTTCTGAGGCACATTAGCAGAGAACTGGATTGGAAGTGGTGTGGCCTAGACTCAAACTGCTGCCCATGTGGGATGCTGGCGTTGTAGGTGGCAGCTTTATCCACTACGCCACAATTCTGGCCCTGTAAAATGTATTTTTCTTTGGGCCTGATTCAACCTGATGGCCACTACTTTGCAACTTCTATGTCTCATTTTTTTGAAAAAAGAAAAAAAAACACAGGAATTAAGTCAGAGAAACTTCAAATTAATATTGCTACTTGCTACTTGCAGAAGGAATTCATTTTTTTTTGCCCTTGCACACTTTCCCCATTTCAAACAACATTTTTAACTTGTTAAATTTATGCTAAGTTACTGGGCTGAGACATAAGACTGTACATGTGATAGCCTCAAGTAGAGCAGTTTCCTAAGAAGTATGCTGAACTTAATCCAATTTGTATCTTTGCATGAGGCTGTGCTTTATCAGAGTTTCCAGTTCTTTCTTTATGGGAAAGGAGTTTTTAAAAGAAACTGAGTTAACCACTTTCTAATGAGTATTTAGGCCACAAAGTTGGTGCAAATTTTGCTGGTGTTTGAAGGATACCAGTTGTCCAGTACTTCAATCTGAAGTCCATCTTGAATGCAAAAAAAAATTATGTATGCTTTTATGTCAATAATACAAAATAAAATTTTCATCTGTACTGAGTCCATTTTTCTCATGAAAAAAGTTAGAGGCCGGTGCCATGGCGCACTAGGGTAATCCTCCGCCTGCGATGCTGGTTTTAGTCCCGGTTGCTCCTCTTCCAGTCCAGCCCTCTTCTGTGGCCCGGGAGGGCAGTGGAGGATGGCCCAGGTCCTTGGGCCCTACACCCACATGGAAGACCAGAAAGAGGCACCTGGCTCCTGGCTTTGGATTGGCATAGCTCCAGCCGTTGTGGCCATTTGGGGAGTGAACCAACGGAAGGAAGACCTTTCTGTCTCCCTCACTGTAACTCCACCTGTCAAATAAATAAATAAAAAGCTTAAAAAAAAGTTAATGTGGCCGGCGCCGCGGCTCACTAGGCTAATCATCCGCCTTGCGGCGCCAGCACACTGGGTTCTAGTCCCGGTCGGGGTGCTGGATTCTGTCCCGGTTGCCCATCTTCCAGTCCAGCTCTCTGCTGTGGCCAGGGAGTGCAGTGGAGGATGGCCCAAGTCCTTGGGCCCTGTACCCCATGGGAGACCAGGAGAAGCACCTGGCTCCTGCCATCGGATCAGCGCGGTGCGCCGGCTGCAGCACGCCGGCCGCGGCGGCCATTAGAGGGTGAACCAATGACAAAGGAAGACCTTTCTCTCTGTCTCTCTCTCTCACTGTCCACTCTGCATGTCAAAAAAAATTAAATAAATAAATAAATAAAAATTAAAAGAAGTTAATGTATATGCATTAAAATTTCTGGAGACAGGTAGGCATTAAAATTATGATGCTGGCATCCTGTATCAGAATGCTGGTTTGAGTCCTAGCCACTTGGCTTCCAATTCAGCTCCCTACTAATGCTGCCGCAGAGAATGGCTCTTGTAGGTCGCTTTCACCCTTTTGAGAGACTTAGGTGAATTTCCTGGCTCCTGACTTTGGCCTAGCCCAGCCTTGGCTTTTGGCAGCCATGTGGAAAGAGAACCAGCAGATGGGAAATCTCTGCTTCTCTGTCACTCTACCTTTCAAATAAACATAATTTTTTTTTCTTTTTTTTTTTTGACAGGCAGAGTGGACAGTGAGAGAGAGAGACAGAAAGGTCTTCCTTTACCGTTGGTTCACCCTCCAATGGCCGCCGCGGCCGGCGCGCTGCGGCCGGCGCACCGCGCTGATCCGATGGCAGGAGCCAGGAGCCAGGTGCTTCTCCTGGTCTCCCATGCGGGTGCAGGGCCCAAGCACTTGGGCCATCCTCCACTGCACTCCTGGGTCACAGCAGAGAGCTGGCCTGGAAGAGGGGCAACCGGGACAGAATCTGGCACCCCAGCCGGGACTAGAGCCCCGTGTGCTGGTGCCGCAGGCGGAGGATTAGCCTAGTGAGCCGCGGCGCCGGCTGCAAACATAAATCTTAGGGGGCAGGCCGGCGCCGCGGCTCACTAGGCTAATCCTCCGCCTAGCGGCGCCACCACACCGGGTTCTAGTCCCGTTTGGGGCGCCGGATTCTATCCCGGTTGCCCCTCTTCCAGGCCAGCCCTCTGCTGTGGCCAGGGAGTGCAGTGGAGGATGGCCCAAGTGCTTGGGCCCTGCACCCCATGGGAGACCAGGAAAAGCACCTGGCTCCTGGATCCTGCCATCTGATCAGCGCGGTGCGCCGGCCGCAGCGCGCCGGCCGCGGCGGCCATTGGAGAGTGAACCAATGGCAAAGGAAGACCTTTCTCTCTGTCTCTCTCACTGTCCACTCTGCCTGTCAAAAAAAAAAAAAAAAAAATCTTAGCGGGTGGGGGGGGAGTGCTGGAAATGCCCACATTTCGTATCAGAGTACCTGAAATTTGACTCTTGGCTCTATTCCTGATTCTGGCTCCCTGCTAGTGCACTCCCTGAGATACTGCAGATGATGGCTCAAGTGGTTGGGTCCTGGCCACCCGACTGGGAGACCTGGCTTGAGTTCCTAACACCTGGTATTGGCTTGTTACAACCCTAGCTATTGTAGACATTCGGGGAGTGAACAAGTGGTTGGGAGATCTCTATCTGTGTACCATTTCTCCGTTTCTCTGTCTTTCTGCTTTTCAAATAATTAAGTTTAAACTAAATTTTTTATTAAAGATTTATTTTATTTATTTGAAAGAGCTACAGAGAGAAGTAGAAACAGAGAGAGAGGTCTTCCATATGCTAGTTTACTCCCCAGTTGGCCTCAACAGCCAGAATGGAGCCGATCCAAAGCCAGAAGCCAGGAGCCTCCTCCTAGTCTCCTACATGGGTGCAGGGGCCCAAGGACTTGGGCCATACTCTGCTGCTTTCCCAGGTACATTAGCGGGGAATTGGATCATAAGTGGAGCAGCCAGGATTCTAACTGGTGCCCATATGGGATGCCAGGCTGTGTCTTTAACCTGCTAACCCTAAACTAAAATTTTAACTACATTTATCCCTAAAGGGTTTTCATAAACTATGATCAAAAAAATTTATTCAATAATCATTTAACATGCTCAGTTCTACACTAAGTAAACTACTGAACAGTAAAAACTTGTAAAGAGTTCAAGTATGTTTTCTTTTTGTCTTCATTTACCAGCTGGATATGAACCTAAATGAGGAGAAACAGCAACCTTTGAGGGAGAAAGACATTATCATCAAGAGAGAAATGTTGTCTCAGTACTTCCACACCTCACAGGCTGTAAGTCATGGGTATAAGGACCGTGCCCTTCTCTTGGACCTGTTTTATTTTGCAAATGCTATTTATTTTATGTCTTCCTTAGTATACCTCATTCCATTATATAATAAGCCTACTCATTTTCAGTCTTTTATTTGACTTATTCATCCTTACATACTTTTTTCCTGATTAAATCTTCATGAAATATGTATGGGAAATGGGATAGGAAATCTGAGTCGCTCCTAAATTAGTGTTACGTATGGGTGATGGGTTTCTGTCCCGATACCATAGTGACTAATGTTTTAGTCCCCAGTTTGTGACTGGGACCATTGTTTACTAATCTTCCCATATTCCTGCTGTCCAGGGCATGAGCCAGAAGGAAAGCTCTAGGTCTGCCATGATGTACATTCAGGAGCTGAGGTCAGGCTTGCGGGATATGCATCTGCTCAGCTGTCTGGAATCCCTTCGTGTCTCTCTCAACAACAACCCTGTCAGGTGAGGATTCTAAGGTGTAACAGGAGTAGGAGTCTAATATTTAAGTTCACTGATGGCAACCAAAGATCAGAGGAGTCAGAGAAGGATGAGAATGGTCTAGATTGAGAGTAAAGAGTTACCAGGATAAACTTTGTTTTGCAAATAAGTGTTTATCAGTTTGATTTGATTTTGTGTTGTCTGCTTCTTCCTTACAGTTGGGTTCAAACATTTGGTGCTGAGGGTCTGGCCTCCTTATTGGACATCCTTAAACGACTTCATGATGAGGAGGATGAGACTGCTGGGTAAGGACTTCCCAAGTCTTTGCATCTTCCCAGAAGAGGGTCATAGATGACTTGGCCACTGCTTCAAAGGAGAAAATAGCAGCTAAATGTAAAGGAATATGCTGTTATCCGAGAATGAGTGTATCATAGAGGTGACTGGAGGATGAATGATGAAAGGAAGCAGAAATTTAAATTTCATCAAGAATAAAACAGGATATGTATCACATAAGATTATTAGTCTCCCAGTTGATCTTCAGTCTGGAAATAAGATCTGATTTATTCCTGAGTCTCCCAACAATCTAGTTTGGATCATAACCCATTTGTAAGTCTTAGAATATACTTCATCAGTTTGTGCCTAGGCTTAAAGCAGACTCCAGGGTTGAAATCATTCTGGAGAGATACCTTGGACTGTCTTAGGTTACCCTGAAGGCAGCCTGAATTAAAATGACTCCTTCACCTCCTGGGATCTTTCTGAAACAAAAATGTACAGGGCCTGGATATTCTGCATGTATCTTGTCACACTTGAAATCTTTGAAGTAGTGAGGCAAACAGTGATAGAAGGGTAATTTAAAAAGTTGTGGAAAAATGAAATTAAAAGATCAGTTTATTTTGGTATAAAATCTTTGAAATCCATTGATAACTTTTTAATTAAAAATTTCATAGAGGAATGAGTATTTGGCACACCAGTTAAGCCGCCACTTTGAATGCTGGCATAACATATGAGTTCCTGGGTTCATGTCCCAGCTCCATTCCTTTTTTTTTTTTTTTTTGACAGGCAGAGTGGACAGTGAGAGAGACAGAGAGAATGGTCTTCCTTTTGCCGTTGGTTCACCCTCCAATGGCTGCCGCGGCTGGCGCACTGTGGCTGGCGCACTGCGCTGCTCCGAAGGCAGGAGCCAGGTGCTTCTCCTGGTCTCCCATGGGGTGCAGGGCCCAAGGACTTGGGCCATCCTCCACTGCACTCCCGGGCCACAGCAGAGAGCTGGCCTGGAAGAGGGGCAACCGGGACAGAATCCGGTGCCCCAACCGGGACTAGAACCTGGTGTGCCGGCGCCACAAGGCGGAGGATTAGCCTATTGAGCCACGGCGCCGGCCAGCTCCATTCCTAATTCCAGTTTTCTGCTGGTGCAGACCCTGGGAGGCAGACCCTGCTTCAAAATAGTTAGGTCCCTGCCACTCGTAGGAGATGCAGATTGAATTTCTAGCCCTTGGTTTTGGCCTGACACAGCTCTGGCTGTTGTAGGTATGTGCAGAGTATTTCTGCCCTTCTCTCTGCCTTTTTTATTTTTCTAAGATGTCTTTATTTTATTCATTTGAAAGGCAGACTTAGGGAGAGACAGACATTTTCTTTCCGCTGGTTCACTCTCCAAATGGCCACAACAGCCACGACTGAGCCAGACCAGAGCCAGAGCCAGGAGCTTCATTAGCATCTCCCATATGGATGCTGGAGCCCAAGGACTTGGTCCACCCTCTGCTGCTTTCCCAGGCGCATTAGCAGGGAGCTGGGTTGCAAATGGAGCAGCCGGGACTCAAACCGGAGCCCATATGGGATGCCGGTGCTGCAGGCTGGGGCTTTAACTTGCTGTACCACGCTCTGGCCCCCCATTTCTGCCTTTTAAATAAACTTTTTAAAGAAAGCTTATGGTCACCGGTGCCGCGGCTCGCTAGGCTAATCCTCTGCCTTGCGGCGCCGGCACACCGGGTTCTAGTCCCGATTGGGGCACCGGATTCTGTCCCGGTAGCCCCTCTTCCAGGCCAGCTCTCTGCTGTGGCCAGGGAGTGTAGTGGAGGATGGCCCAAGTCCTTGGGCCCTGCACCCCATGGGAGACCAGGAGAAGCACCTGGCTCCTGCCATCGGATCAGCGTGGTGCGCTGGCTGCAGCGTGCCTGCCGCGGCGGCCACTGGAGGGTGAACCAACAGCAAAGGAAGACCTTTCTCTCTGTCACTCTCTCTCACTGTCCACTCTGCCTGGTCGAAGAAAAAAAAAAAAAGTCTATCTCTCATCAAAATTCCTGCCATGCTAAGGACTGGATCGATTCTCTATTTTATTTTTTTGCACCAAAATAAACCTGTGTTTCAGCTCTCATTTTCCATGAACGTTTTGAAGTACCTTTGCAAATAGAATGTTATCCTGATAGAATTTAGCACTTAGAAGCCTAGGAGGAGTTAGAGGGAGGATTTCTTTTTCTTCTTCTTCGTCTTTTTTTTTTTTTTTTTTTTTTTAATTTTTGACAGGCAGAGTGGACAGTGAGAGAGAGAGACAGAGAGAAAGGTCTTCCTTTGCCGTTGGTTCACCCTCCAATGGCCGCCGCGGCCGGCGCGCTGCGGCCGGCGCACCGCGCTGATCCGATGGCAGGAGCCAGGAGCCAGGTGCTTTTCCTGGTCTCCCCATGGGGGTGGTAGAGGCCCAAAGCACTGGGCCCATCCTCCACTGCACTCCCTGGCCACAGCAGAGAGCTGGCCTGGAAGAAGAGGCTACCGGGACAGAATCCGGCGCCCCAAACGGGACTAGAACCCGGTGTGCCGGCGCCGCTAGGCGGAGGATTAGCCTAGTGAGCCTCGGCGCCGGCCTTTTTTTTTTTTTTTTTTTTAAGATTTATTTATTTGAAAGAGTTACAAAGAGAGAGGGAGAGACACAGAGACCTTCCATTCACTGATTCACTCCCTAAATGGATATAGTGGCCAGGATTGGGCCAGCTGAAAGGCATAGTGCTTTCTGGGTCTCACACCTGGGTGTCAGGGGTCCAAGCACTTGGACCACTTTCCACTGCTTCTCCTAGGCCATTAGCAGGAAGCTAGATTGGCAATGGAGCAGCCAGAACGTGAACAGGCACCCATGGGGTGCCAGCATCACAGGCTACCATAGCTTTCTGTGCTGTGCCCCAATGCCAGCCCCCTAAAGGAAAGGTTTTAATGCATACAAAATTCTTGGATTATAAGAGGATTAGCCAGAAGGTTTTTGATGGTAGGAATCCTTCTTTAGCTACTTTTGTTAATGTTTGTGTGCTAATAACACTTACTAGTTAAACTAGTTTAGGGGTGTTCCTAAGATTCTGTTTATAAGATTGAAAATTCAAATGGGAAATATGGGATAAAGGAACCTTACTAATTGTGTCTTCTCCATGTGATAGCCGGAACAAGCATGAGATCATTCGCTGCTTGAAAGCTTTTATGAACAACAAGGTAAGATTTTTTTTTCCATTCTCATTCCAGCTTCCCTGGAACCCCATTCTTTGTCTCATCTTGGCAGGTACAAAAAGAGAACTAGAGTCATGAGATTTAAGACTTCTAGCCTTCCCTTTGAAAATCTTAACTATTTTCCATTGCCACATATGTTCTGGTCTTGAAAAAGTTTGTGGAAAATGCATATCATGAAAACATTATGAACGTATTTCAAAAATTTTCATACCAAAATAAGCTTATTGAATTCTATTTTTCATGAACTGGTTTTTTTTTTTTTTTTTTTTTTTTATAAAGATTTTTTTTTTTAGGAAAGTCAGAGTTAGAGGGAGAAACAGAGACAGAGAGGGCGTGTGTGTACATGCACTTCCATCTGCTGGTTCACCCCCCAGATGGCCAAAAGGACCAGGACTGAGCCAGGCCAAAGCCAGGAGTTTCATTCAGGTCTGCTACATGGGTTTAAGAGTGCAAGCACTTGGGCCATCTTCCACTGTTTTCCCAGGCCATTGGCCGGGAACTGGATCAGAAGTGAAGAAGCTGAGCCATGAATTGGCACCTATATGGGATGCTGGTACTGCAGGTGGTGACTTAATCTACACCACAGTCCTGGCCCCCGATTATTATTATTATTATTATTATTATTATTTAAAAGAGAGTTACAGAGTTAGAGAGAGGTAGAGATAGGTCTTCCATCCATTGGTTTGCTCCACAAATGGCCATGACGGCTGGAGCTGAGTGGATCCAAAGCCAGGCGCTTCTTCTGGGTCTCCTACATGGGTGCAGGGGCCCAAGGACTTGGGCCATCTTCTGCTGCTTTCCCAGGCCATTGCATAGAGCTGGATCAGAAGAGGAGCACCTAGGACTCGAACCAGCACCCATATGGGATGCTGGCACTGCAGGCCTGGACTTTGACCTGATGTGTCATAGCACTGACCCCATCACTATGTTTTGAAATAAGTTCACATTCTGCAGCACTGGTGGTTAAGACTTCAGCATGAGTCTAGGGAGGAAACCGTTCAAACCCTGAACTTTTTCATGGTTAGATGCTGTTGTCTTTAAATGTCCCATTTCTGTTTTTATCATAACAGTTTGGAATCAAAACTATGTTAGAGACAGAAGAAGGAATCCTACTGCTGGTCAGAGCCATGGACCCTGCTGTTCCCAACATGATGATTGATGCAGCTAAGCTGCTTTCTGCTCTTTGCATCCTACCACAGCCAGAGGACATGTATGTGACTGGAGTTATTTCTCTTCTTCTTTTGCATTTTATCATCTTTTCTTAGTCTAGAGGAAAATTGACTTGCTTGGTGTCTTCTTGGTCTTAAATATTATTACGTATTTTTAAATTTTATAATTTTTAATTTAAGATTTATATATTAATTTGAAAGGCAGAGTTACAGAGGCAGAGAAAGAGAGAGGGGGAGAGAGAGAGAGGTTTACCATCTGGTGGTTCACTCCCCAAATGACCGCAGCAGCTAAAGCTGAGCCAATCTGAAGCCAGGAGCTGCTTCTGGGTTTCCCACGTGGGTACAGGGGCCCAAAGATTTGGGTCTTCCTTCGCCATTTTGCCAGGCCATAGCAGAGAGCTGGATCCGAAGTGGAGCATCTGGGACTCAAACCGGCGCCCTTTTGGGATGCCAGCACTGCAAGTGGCGGCTTTACCTGCTATGCCACGGCGCTGGCCCCGGACTTAAATATTAAATAAGAGTATTTCTTCCTAGAAGTGAGCACTGAGACTGTTGATATGGGTTGAACATCCTTAATCTGAAAGGCTCCAAAATCTGAAACTTTGTGAACATTGACATAATACCACAAGTGGAAAGTTACACACCATAAAACTTTGTTTTATGCACAACATTTTTAAAAAATATAACATAAAATTACATTCAAGCCATGTGTATAAGGTGTATATGGGTCCCATTCCCCCTATAATTCATTATGTATATGCAGATGTTTCAAAATCCAATTTTTGAAACACTTCTCATCCCAGGAATTTTGGCAAAGGGATACTCAGCCTTGTTTAAGATACATTCCTGGCTGGCGCTGCGGCTCAATAGGCTAATCCTCCACCTAGCGGCGCCGGCACACCGGGTTCTAGTCCTGGTCGGGGCGCCGGATTCTGTCCCAGTTGCCCCTCTTCCAGGCCAGCTCTCTGCTGTGGCCCGGAAGTGTAGTGGAGGATGGCCCAAGTCCTTGGGCCCTGCACCCCAAGGCAGACCAGGAGAAGCACCTGGCTCCTACCTTCAGATCAGCGCGGTGTGCCGGCCGCAGCGTGCCAGCCATGGCAGCCATTGGAGGGTGAACCAACAGCAAAAGGAAGACCTTTCTCTCTGTCTCTCTCTCTCACTGTCCACTCTGCCTGTCAAAAAAAAAAAAAAAAAAAAAAGATACATTCCTATGTGATGGAGACTGTCCTGAACGTACACGTGGTTTTCAGAGGTGTAGTGGGGTGTATTTTACATCTGGGATAGGGTTGTTTTTTACTGCTTTGTTTTTAATTTTGAGGTAACACAGTTTTTTTCTTTTTTTTTGCTTGGAGTATACAAAGTTTAACAACCTCATCACTTTGCCAGTTGTAATCTGCAGAGATAACCAGTGTTAATACCTTGGTGTAGTCTCATATCCTTTTAAGCACAAGTTTACTGCATTTCTTTGATTCTGAGACCACTTCTGCCACCCCAAAAGATAATGGCTTGGAGCTGAGGAATGGTAGATAATGCCTATAAAACAAAGTGTGTAGGGGATACAGTTTTATTTTTGTGGAGTACTTGGGTTAAACAAAGCCTAAATCATATTGTTATTTCAAGTTAATTCTTTTTCCTTAACAGTAGATCTTGAAGATCCTTCTACATTGTTACTTAGAGATCTATATTATCTTTAGTGGCTATTTAACATTTCGTATGTGTGTATGTATGTATGTCCCATCATTTGTTTAACAGTTACCCTAATATTAGAGTTTTAGATAGACGTAAGCAGATTCTGGTCCTTGTTCTAAGTGATAAGAATATTTATTGTTAATGATGGATTCTATAATGAACATCCCTGTATGGAGTTTTTTTTTTTTTTTAATAATAGTTCCTTTAGTCCCAAGTTACTACTATTAAAAAAAAAAGATTTATTAATTTATTTGAAAGGCAGAGTCACAAAGAGGCAGAGGCAGAGAGAAAGAAAACTTTCATCTGCTGGTTCACTCCCAAGATGGCCACAACGGCCGGAGCTGGGCTGTTCTGAAGCCAGGAGCTTCTTCTGAGTCTCTGATGCAGGTGTAGGGGCCCAAGCACTTGGGCCATCCTCTACAGCTTTCCCAGGCCGTAGCAGAGAGCTGGATTGGAAGTGGAGCAGCCAGGTCTTGAACTGGCACCCATAAGGAATGTCACATTGCAGGTGGTGGTTTTACCCGCTATGCCACAGTATAGACCCCTGTATTTTCTTTATATGCATATATGTTGGATAAATTTCTAGAAGTAAGCTAAAGTTGCATAAACTTGAAATAAAGTAGTTCTATCATGTGCACCTCTAAAGGTTGTACTAATCTGTATACTTCATCATATAAGGACCTTAATATGGTATCCATGAATAAGATGGAATTTAGGGGGTGCCTTCTTCATAGCATTCAGCAGATTCTGACCTCTGCTGTGGGTCAGAAGAATGGAGAAATCTAGAGCATTAACAAAGGCCCCCTTTCCCCCCTTTTATTTTTTTTTTTTTTGACAGGCAGAGTTAGACAGAGAGAGAGACAGAGAGAAAGGTCTTCTTTTTTCCGTAGGTTCACCCCCCAAGTGGCTGCTATGGCCGGCGCGCTGCACCGATCTGAAGCCAGGAGCCAGGTACTATCTCCTGGTCTCCCATGTGGGTGCAGGGCCCAAGCACTTGGGCCATCCTCCACTGCACTCCCGGGCCACAGCAGAGAGCTGGCCTGGAAGAGGGGCAACGGGGACAGAATCCGGCGCCCTGACCGGGACTAGAACCCGGTGTGCCGGCACCGCCAGGTGGAGGATTAGCCAAGTGAGCCGCAGCGCCGGCTGTAAATTTTTTTTTTTTTTTTTTTACAGGCAGAGTGGACAGTGAGAGAGACAGAAAGGTCTTCCTTTACATTGGTTCACCCTCCAGTGGCCGCTGCGGCCGGCGTGCTGTGGCCAGCGCCCCGCGCTGATCTGAAGCCAGGAGCCAGGTGCTTCTCCTGGTCTCCCATGTGGGTGCAGGGCCCAAGCACTTGGGCCATCCTCCACTGCACTCCCGGGCCACAGCAGAGAGCTGGCCTAGAAGAGGGGCAACCGGGACAGAATCTGGGGCTCCGACCGGGACTAGAACCTGGTGTGCTGGCGCCGCAGGCAGAGGATTAGCCTAGTGAGCCCCGGCGCCAGCCATATTGTCCTCTTTCCTAAGTGGCCTATGCCTATTACACACGTCTGTATCAGAGCATCTGGGCAATTCGCTTCCTTTCCTTTGCTTGGGCAGGAATGAAAGGGTTTTGGAGGCCATGACAGAAAGAGCTGAGATGGATGATGTGGAACGGTTCCAGCCACTGCTTGATGGATTAAAAAGTGGGACCTCCATTGCACTCAAGGTATGTATACCTGAAACTGGGCCCAAGAATAAAATTCAAGATAAAGAGACTGAAGTTCATATAGCCTTTTAATAGAACACATGGAGTGGCTCCCAAACTGTACATTTTACGTATCAGAATTTGTTCTGAAAGGAAAATGATTAATCTCCCTAAGATGTCGAAAAAACAAACAAACAACTGTTTTCCTAGTGAAATGGAGAAAAGGCATAATATTATATATAAAGTTAGAAAAACCAAGGCCTGCATTAACATATACCATCAGATCATTGGAACATTTAGACTTGTGAGCTCTCTGGACCTGTGCTCAAACCAGGTCTCAATGATCTAAGGGAAAATTCCTTCATATTTTTTTTAAAAGATTTTATTTATTTATTTGAGAAGTAGAGTTACAGACAGGGAAAGAAAGGCGTTCCATCCACTGGTTCCTTCCCCAAATGTCTGCAGTGGCCAGAGCCAGACTGATGCGAAGCCAGGAGCTTCTTCCGGGTCTCTCATACTGGTGCAGGAGCCCAAGGACTTGGGCCATCTTCCACAGATTTCCCAGTCTATAAGCAGAGAGGGGGATCAGAAGAGGAGCAGCCAAGACACGAACCGGCACCCCTATGGGATGCTGGCAGAGGCTTAGCCTGTAATGCCACAGCACTGGCCCCCTGCATATAGTTTTTGTACTACATCTTCTAGGTTATATTTGGGAACCTCACAGTGCATGTAAAGAGAATGGAGTTTTGATTGGTAGCATTGACACACCTATTGCATTTTCTTATTTTAGGTGGGATGCCTCCAGCTGATCAATGCTCTCATCACACCAGCGGAGGAACTTGACTTCCGAGTTCACATCCGAAGTGAACTGATGCGCCTGGGGCTGCATCAGTTGTTGCAGGTAAACTGAAACACTTTTTTTGAATGGTTGGGCTAGATCGATAGCACTAATCATCTGCCTGTTTGCTGCTTAAAAACCAGGTTGAAAGATTGGGGTTTCTAGCTACGTTAGACACTTTCGGGTTCCCTGACTTTTCCTTTTGTTTTTAATAGGACCTTCGAAAGATTGAAAATGATGATATGAAAGTGCAGCTAACTGTGTTTGATGAACAAGGGGAAGAAGATTCCTTTGACTTAAAGGGACGGCTAGATGACATTCGCATTGAAATGGAATATCCTTTTATTGACTGGGTACATAACAGATGACCCAGTCATTAGGTTCAGTTGAACATGGAATCTGTGGAATAGTTCGAAGGCTGATGACCAAGAGCAGGGCATCAGGCTTGTGAGTCTTCTTGGTAAATACACTATATGTCTTTTTGATTGCTGTTGCGTTTGTTTTTTATTGCGGTTGGTGTTAGTACAGATGACCTTAGGATTGCTCAGCGTGGAAGCAGCCATTGCAGTCATGATAAACTTCCTACAACATAAGAGCTTTGCTTACTGAGATGCAGAGCTGGATTATAGAGGTGTTTGGACTGAGTGGGGGAATAATTTGTTTCCATATTAATATTTGCCACAAGTGACGTTAAGGCAGTTATCTTCTCGTTTCCTGTCTACTGCTTGATCTTCTAGCTAAGTACTAGGAGTCTTTTCTGTACACTGCCACCACTTGCTGGTCCCTTGGTGGTGGTTACTGGAGAAACAGCAGTTAGAATGGAAGTTACATCTTGAGAACTTTTCTCTAGTTTTTCCAAGAGTTGAACCACCCATCCACCAAATATTTGCTTTCCTTGACCTATCCCCCTTTTCCACTGACTTTAATGAAGTCTTCCAGATTCTCTTAAACACAGTGAAGGATTCAAAGGCAGAACCACACTTCCTGTCCATCTTGCAGCACCTTCTTTTGGTCCGAAATGACTATGAGGCCAGGTAAGGTGGTGTGCCTGTGGGAGTTTTGAATTAACTTAAATGAAGTGAGCAAAGTCCTTAAATTCAAATATTGTTCTGTAAAGGGTAAAACACAGAGAACATGGATGTTTTGGTTCATGAGTCACGGATGGGAAGGGAGTTGTCAGTTGTTTTCTCAATCCAGCTGATGGAGATCCTCTGGAAGAGGTCAGAGCATCTCAGATGAAATGCCCTTCCTTTTTTGGTGGGATGAAGATGCATCAAAGGAAGATGGGAATTTGAGATTCTTTCTGGTTGCCTGGCAGTAGAAATACAGCAGTAGCACTGGCCTTCCCAGGAAGGGTCAAACCCACATTTTTCAATGGGAAAGGATTGGCACTAAAAGGCAGAATGGTAAGGAGCTTGGGTGGTCTGAGATAGGCAGGGTAACTGAAAGGAAAGCAGTATTAGGAGTGATATTTATTTTTTTTTTTTTAAAGATTGATTTATTTGAAAGAGTTACACAGAGAAAGGCAGAGAGAGAGAGAGAGAGAGAGAGAGAGAGAGAGGTCTTCCATCTGCTGGTTCACTCCCCAGTTGGTCGCAATGGCCAGAGCTATGCTGATCTGAAGCCAGGAGTCTGGAGCTTCTTTCGGGTCTTACCGTATGGATGCTTCTTTCGGGGTCCAAGGACTTGGGCCATCTGCTGTTGCTTTCCCAGGCCATAGCAGAGAGCTAGACCGGAAGTGGAGCAGCTGGGACTAGAACCGGCATCCATATGGGATGTTAGCACTGCAGGTGGCCCTGATATTTCTTTTTTTCTTTTCTTTTCTTTTTTTTTTTTTTTGACAGGCAGAGTGGACAGTGAGAGAGAGAGACAGAGAGAAAAGTCTTCCTTTTACCGTTGGTTCACCCTCCAATGGCCGCCGCGGCCGGCGTGCTGCAGCCGGCGCACCGCGCTGATCCGATGGCAGGAGCCAGGAGCCAGGTGCTTTTCCTGGTCTCCCATGGGGTGCAGGGCCCAAGCACCTGGGCCATCCTCCACTGCACTCCCTGGCCACAGCAGAGAGCTGGCCTGGAAGAGGGGCAACCGGGACAGAATCCGGCGCCCCGACCGGGACTAGAACCCGGTGTGCCAGCGCTGCTAGGTGGAGGATTAGCCTAGTGAGCCGCGGCACCGGCCTCCTGATATTTCTATTACCTTTACAAAAAGTTCTTTTCTTGAACATTTATCCTTGGATTACCTTAGTGTCAAAACAAGTAACTTTTTTTGATCCGGAATACTGCTGAAAACTATGTATTTTATTTTCCTTTGATAACTTTGTTTTGTTTCTTCTGTAGACCCCAGTACTATAAGTTGATTGAAGAATGTATTTCCCAGATAGTTCTACATAAGAATGGGGCTGATCCAGACTTTAAGTGCCGACATCTCCAGATTGATGTAGAGGGACTGATTGGTAAGCATGCTCTTCTCCCTGGTTCCCCAAAACTTTACCTTATTTTGCATCATTCTGTCAGTGAGAATTTCAGAGAAGATACGAGAGGTCTTCAAAAAGTTTGTGGAGAATATATACTATCTTTAATTTTTGATATTTATTTTCCCTGTTAGGTTGTATTTTGCTTTTGTTTTGAAGATTTATTGATTTATTTGAGAGGCAGAGAGAGCTTCAGTGCAGTGGTTTGCTTCCTAAATGGCCACAAGTGCAAGCCAGAAGCTGGGAGCTTCTTCCAGGTCTCCCACATGGGTTCAGGGGCCCAAGAACTTGGACCATCCTCTGCTGCTTTCCTAGGTGAATTTTTAGGGAATTAGATTGGAAGTGGAGTAGCCAGCACTTGAACCTGTGCCCATATGGGATGCCGATTCTGCAGGCTGTTGCTTTAACCTGCTGAGCCACAGTGCTGGTCCCCCTATTTGTTTATAAAGATTTATTTATTTATTTATTTATTTGAAAGAGATCTTCATCCTCTGGTTCACTCCCCAAATGGTTGCAATGGGCAGGGCTGTGCAAGGCCAAAGACAGGAGTCATGAGCTTCTTTGGGATCTTCCACATGGGTGCAGGGCCCCAAGCATTTAGGCTGCTGCTTTCCCAAGCACATTAGCAGGGAGCTGAATCAGAAGTGGAGCAGCTGGGACTCAAAAATCTGTGCCAGTATTAGGATGCCAGCATTGCAGACAGTGGCTTAACCTGCTGTTCCACAGTGCTAACCCCATAATTTTTGTTTTTATTTATTTGAAGGGAAGAACAAAAGAGAGAGAGAGAGATTTTTTTATCTACTGGTTCACTCCCAGGTGCATTAGCAGAGAGCTGGATTAGAAGTGGAGTAGTCACGGGGCCGGCACTGTGGCGCAGCAGGTAAGGCTTCCACGTGCAGCGCCGGCATCCCATAAGGGCGCCTGTTCTAGTCCTAGCTGCTCTTCTTCTGATCCAGCTCTCTTTTATGGCCTGGGAAAACAGTAGAAGATGGTCCAAGTCTTTCGGCCTCTGGACCCGTGTGAGAGGCCCAGAAGAAGCTCCTGGCTCCTGGTTGCAGATCAGCTCAGCTCTGGCCATTACAACCATTTGGGGAGTGAATCAGCACATGGAAGACCTCTCTTTCTCTCTCTGGCTCTCTATTTCTCTGTAACTCTTGTCTCTCAAATAAATAGAATAAATCTTAAAAAAAAAAAAAAAAAAAAGAAGTGGAGTAGTCAGGATTTGAACCAGCATTCCGAAATAGAATGTTGTTGTCATAAGTGTTATCTTAACTCAACATACCACAACGCTGGCCCCTCATATGCTATTTTTTGAAGGATTTATTTTTTATTTATTTGAAAGGCAGAGTTGCAGAAAGAGGAGGAGAGACAGAGACAAAGAAATCCTGTATCGTCTGGTTCAATCCCCAAATGGCTGCAATAGCTGGGACTGGGCCAGGCCAAACCTAGGAGCCCAGAGCTTGCTTCTTCTCCGTCTCCTATGGTGGGACAAAAGCCCAAGTACTTGGGCCATCTTCTGCTTTCCCAGGCACGTTAACTGGGAGCTGGATATGAAGTGGAGCAGCCCTTCTCTCTCTCTCTCTCTCTCTCTCTCTTTTTTTTTTTTTATTTGTTACTTGTTTGAAAGGGGGATAATGGGGCTCTGGGGAAGAGAGAGAGCACACGTATGCAAGAGATATCAAAATCTTTCATTGGCTAGTTCAGTGTGTAACGGTTGGGGCTGGACAAAGCTGAAGTGAGGAGTCAGGAGTTCCATCCAGTCACCCCACTTGGTTTCAGGGGCTGTCTTCCCTTGCTTTCCCAGGCTCATTATCAAGAAACTGAATCAGAAAAGGATTAGCCAGGATTCAACCCAGCATTTTTATATAGGATGCGTGCACTGCAGGCAGTGGCTTACCCCACTGAACTACAGTGCTGGCTTATATCACTCTATCATTAAGTCCAAATTTTTATTTTATTTATTTGAGAGGCAGAGTTACAGAGAGGGAGAGCCGAGAAAAAGGTCTTCTATCCACTGGTTCACTCCCCAAATGGCTGCAACGGTCAGAACTGGTTCGATCCAAAGCCAGAAGCCAGGAGCTTCTTCCGAGTCTCCCATGTGGGTGCCGGAGCCCAAGCGCTTCTTCCACTGCTTTCCCAGGCCATATGCAGAGAGCTGGATTGAAGAGGAGCAGCTGGGACATGCACCAGCACCCATATAGGATGCCAGTGCCACAGCACTGGCCCCAAAGTGCAGATTTTTTCACAAAGTTTTTGAAGTCTATCTACCTTTCCAGTCACTATATGTTTTCATTTTGTCTTGTCTTAGCATATAACCAACATCTTTTGCTAGGAATAAACAGGCTGTTAATTTATTTCTACAGAAATCTAAAAACTTGACCATTTTCACACACCACTACCTTTTGTAAGGACATGGGCTATTAGATGTGACTCCAGCTGATCTCGGACAGTTATAAGTGTCATTCCGAGGCAGTCCTCCTGTCTCCCAGCATGGTCCCGTACCATGTGCTCAGAAATTACATGTTGGACATAACTCAAAGTTCCCTTTCTTTATCTAATGCAGAACATTAAGAAGGTTGATACAGGTGACCAAAATGACAAAAGAGCACTCTTTCGTGATATATAAGGTCTTAGCGGTTATGGCAGAGGAAAAACAAGAGCATCTGCTTACTTTTTTTCTTTCCAGATCAAATGATTGATAAAACAAAAGTGGAAAAATCTGAAGCCAAAGCTACAGAGCTGGAAAAAAAAGTATGTATGAAAAAAAATTTTGTTTTGTTTTGGTCTGAGGATGTTTTTTTCTTCTGGTTTGTGAGACAGTTTTTCCCATGGTATGTATTTGAAAGGCATTCATCTACTAGGGTTGTCATTTCTATGAGAAAACCTGTCTGGAGTGTGCTAGTCTTTGGAGGAGGTGATGTGAGTATGAACATGAGGAGCCGGTGGTGAGCTGGTACAGCTCTTGGGCCACTGGGCAGGACAGGAGAGACGGAAGGAATTGTTCTTCTCTGAGGGCATGCTCAGGTTTCTTTGGCATCTCATGCCTGTTGTCTGACCCTAGAACAATAGAAACTGGAATGCATTTGAGTTTTTTTTTTTCTTTGGTTATTTAGGGCTCCTATTATGGTTGATTGATTTTTTTTACAGATTTCTTTGTTTATTTGAAAGGCAGAGTTATAGAGAGGCAGAGGCAGAGAGAGAGATAGAGAGGCCTTCCATCCACTGGTTCACTCCCCAGATGGCCACAACGGCTGCAGGTGGGCTGATCTGGAGCCAGGAGCCAGGAGCTTCCTCTGTGTTTCCCACGTGGGTGCAGGGGCCCAAGGACTTGGGCCATCTTCTGCTTTCCCAGGCCATAGCAGAGAGCTGGATTGGAAGTGGAGCAGCCGGGTCTTGAACCGGCGATCATATGGGATGCCAGCACCCAGGCCAGGGCGTTAACCCTCTGCACCACAGTGCTGGCCCCCACAATTGATTTTTGATCCTAGAGATTACCTGGATTGTGCCGCCGCGGCTATCCTGGTTAAATGTCCTGAAATTTTAGGATTTTGTTTTTGTTTTTGATTCTTACTATAAAAATAGGAAGACTATGAAAATGATCTCTAGTTTCCCCCTCCTTTAACCTTGATTTAAAAAAAAAAAAAATTTTTTTTTAAGCCGGCGCCACGGCTCAATAGGCTAATCCTCCACCTTGTGGTGCCAGCACACCGGGTTCTAGTCCCGGTCGGGGCTCCGGATTCTGTCCCGGTTGCCCCTCTTCCAGGCCAGCTCTCTGCTGTGGCCCAGAAGTGCAGTGGAGGATGGCCCAAGTGCTTGGGCCCTGCACCCACATGGGAGACCAGGAGAAGCACCTGGTTCCTGCCTTCGGATCGGCGCGGTGCACCGGCCACAGCACGCCGGCCGCGGCGGCCATTGGAGGGTGAACCAACGGCAAAAGGAAGACTTTTCTCTCTCTCTCTCTCTCACTGTCCACTCTGCCTGTCAAAAAAAAATTTTTTTTTTTATTTGAGAGGCAGAGACAGACAAAGCTTCACTTCCTAATTGTCCCAACATCTGAGGCTAGAAACAGGCACCAGGAACTCAGCTGATGGTCTCCCTCATGGGTGGCTGGAAAGCAATTACTTTAGCCATTACCACTGCCCACTGGCTGAATCGGTGGGGAAGCTGGAATCAGGAGCTAGGACAGGTAACAGAACTCATGCACTCTGATAGGGAATGCAGTTTTTAACCCCTTGGCAATTTATCTGCTCCTGGCCTTGATTTTAAGATATAAGAAAATTATGATGTTCTTTTGCCCCCAGACATTGCTTGAACTATGGGTCTGTGAGCTCTATTGGGTCAAGCATTGGCACAGGCCGTAAATTAAGGGATGCTTCTTATTGACGTGCATCTTACTGAGACAGAGAGTTTGCTGGAAACTTGATGTTTTTCTTCTTTAGCTGGATTCAGAGTTAACAGCCCGGCATGAGCTACAGGTAGAAATGAAAAAGATGGAAAGTGATTTTGAGCAGAAACTTCAAGATCTTCAGGGAGAAAAGGATACGTTGGATTCTGAAAGGCAGCAAGTTGCGACGCAGAAACAGGAACTGGAAGCTGAGGTGTCCCAGCTCACTGGAGAGGTAACGTGTGAACAGGGAAGGCCACATGGCCTGCAATTGCTGTCAGCAGCCTCTGCATGCGTGTGTCTTAGAACAGGAGTCAGTCATCTCTCTCCTAGGGTAAACTGGTTACTGCAAAAGCATTTACTGTGTTTTGGTTTGTTTTATTTTGGAGGCAAGTAATACATAAGAAAAGTTGAAAACACAGTCTTCTGATAGATTTAGGAATAAAAACTACAATATATGTTTTTATTAGTTTTCTTTTAGTCATCTCTGGACAGATATATCCTCATATATATTCTCTGATACTAATACTTAATATGCTGTATAATTACAAATATATGTTATGTGACTAGAATATTTGATTTACTTGACTTTTACATTATAATCAAAAGGAGAGTTTAACATAAAGGTTGAAGTTGTCATTGTAATACAAGGTCTACTGAACTGAGAACATACAGACTTGAAATCTGGCTTTGGCTCTGCCACTAGATAATGTGACTTCAGGTGAACCATGAGATCTCACTGACTCCTGTCAGTTCCTCCATGTGTAGAATGAGAAGTTTGGATGAAGTCATTTCTTAGGTTCCTTCTGGTCCCATAGCCCCTGAAGCGGGCTGAGAGGGACTCATGCTGATGTTGTTTCTGTAGGTTGCCAAGCTGTCAAAAGAACTGGAAGATGCCAGGAAAGAAATGGCTTCCCTCTCTGCTGCAGCTGCTGTAGCTCCTTCTGGTCCTGGCAGTGCTGCTGTTCCCTCTTCCCTTTCTTTACCTGGTTACCCTGGCACTACTGTCCCTCCCCCGCCTCCACCCCCTCCGTTACCAGGAGGAGACAGTATACCACCCCCACCTCTTCTCCCTGGAAGTAGTACCATTCCTCTGCCCTCACTTCCGGGTGATCTGCCTGGGGGTACTGCCATCCCCCCACCCCCTCCTTTGCCTGGGGGTACTGCCATCCCCCCACCCCCTCCTTTGCCTGGGGGTACTGCTGTCCCCCCACCTCCTCCCTTGCCTGGAAATGCTGGCATCCCCCCACCTCCTCCTTTGCCTGGGAGTGCTGGCATCCCCCCACCTCCTCCTTTGCCTGGGGGTACTGCTGTCCCCCCACCTCCTCCCTTGCCTGGGAGTGCTGGCATCCCCCCACCTCCTCCCTTGCCTGGGAGTGCTGGCATCCCCCCACCTCCTCCCTTGCCTGGGACTGCTGGCATCCCCCCACCCCCTCCCTTGCCTGGGATTGCTGGTGTCCCTCCACCCCCACCTTTGCCTGGGAGTGCTGGCGTCCCCCCACCTCCTCCTCCTCTGCCTGGGGATACTGGCATCCCCCCACCTCCTCCATTTCCTGGAGGCCCTGGCATTCCTCCACCTCCACCTGGATTGGGTATGCCTCCACCTCCCCCCTTTGGGTTTGGAGTTCCTGCAGCCCCAGCTCTGCCATTTGGATTAGCTCCCAAAAAGGTTTATAAGCCAGAGGTGCAGCTCCGGAGGCCAAACTGGTCCAAGGTGAGAAATTCTCTCCGTTTCTTCCTTGTAGACATTAAGAAACCACTTCAGCCTACAACTTTGTGTTTTATCCACGGGGGTGTCTCTTCCTCCTGGCCCCTGTAAGTGCTTTGTAGGTTCTACTCACGCTTACGTTTATTCAGCATCTCCTGGAAAGTCCCGTGAGCCCCGTACTCTGAACTTAACCCTCACTGAACTTGTCCTTAAACTCATGTTATTTTTGCCTTTTCCCAGAGGATAGAAGTACCATGGTAACATGCAGCTTGACAATAATAGTCATTTCACTGATCTGCAAACTACTGAAATTGTGTTGATCCAGAAGTGATGAATTTTTCAATAAGCCTCCCATCCTACTCCCAGTATGTGAAGTATTAGACAGGCCATGTTTGCCTGGCACAACATTTTCCCCATGATGTATTTGAGACTCCTGTGATTCTTAGCCTTTTCCTTCTAGAAATCAATTTAAAATAAAGGCATTAATTGGCACAGGTAGGGGTAACGGAAGAGGAAAATGTTACAGGGAGCAAGCAAAGATACAAAGCGAAGCTGTAAAGCTTCTCCAGCTAGAAGGTGGGAGTTAAAAGGACGATGGGTAGCTTAACAGTAGTTCTTGAGTGATCACCAGTAAACAAACTGGAATTGTCATCTGCTGATTCCCACATGGGAAGTGTAGCTGTTCTTTATTTCTTAGGTTAGTCTTTTGACAGAGTGGACAGTGAGAGAGAGACAGAGAGAAAGGTCTTCCTTTACCATTGGTTCACCCTCCAGTGGCCGCTGTGGCTGGCGTGCCACGGCCAGCGCACCGTGCTGATCTGAAGCCGGGAGCCAGGTGCTTCTCCTGGTCTCCCATGTGGGTGCAGGGCCCAAGGACTTGGGCCATCCTCCACTGCACTCCCAGGCCACAGCAGAGAGCTGGCCTGGAAGAGGGGCAACCGGGACAGAATCCGGCGCCCTGGCTGGGACTAGAACCCGGTGTGTCAGTGCCGCAGGTGGAGGATTAGCCTATTGAGCCGCGGCTCTGGCCTCTTAGGTTAGTCTTAGTCTAGTCTAAGATTTCTGATAACCAGCCAGCTCCTGTTGCATCTTAGTCAGTCTTCTGGGATGTCAAGTACAGAGCTCCACATAGTCACGTTTAACTCTGCCTGTATCCGTAGTTTGTGGCTGAAGATCTTTCCCAGGACTGCTTCTGGACAAAGGTGAAGGAAGACCGCTTTGAGAACAATGAACTTTTTGCCAAGCTTACCCTCACTTTCTCTGCTCAGACCAAGAGTAAGTACTTTCTTCTCGGGTGCAGAGGTCTGGTGTAGGGCTTAGCATTAAAATATTATTTAAGCAGTTTCCCATTCGCTTCCTTCCTTGGGTGAGGATAGAAAGGAAATGTTGAGTGGAAGAGAAATGACTTCTCCCATTCAGAAGAAATAAGTTATTGTATTTAGGGTTACTGGGGTTGGGGAAAAGAATTGTTACATATTATTATCAGTTCTGACTTTTAAAATAGAAGTGGGATAGAGTCCTTAATAGGTTGGGTGGATGAGCAGATATCTACAATAACAACTAATTGTGACTCCTTTTCTTTCATTTCTTTCTGATATCTGATGCTTTCCCCCTCTTGGCCCTTTGCTCCAACAGCTTCTAAAGGTAAGAATACAAAAGAGCCTTTTCATTGGATCTGTTGAATATTAGAGAATAAAATAAAACAGATGTGAAGGAATAGGTTTCTCCTTAGAAAACTGAGACCAGAATTGAGGGTGGAATTCTCTTTTGCTAGATTTTTGTTTGTTGTTTTACTTTGTGTAATCGACCAGCAACTGCGGGATTAACTGACCGGGAGGAGTGTTCTCTATGTTGAAGCTACTGCATATTTGTTCTGTGGAAAGTGGGGATGGATGACTTGAGTAATAATACCGTTATTACTTACATTTGTGTTGTGTTTTACAACCTTCAAAATGCTTGATTGTGTAATACCCTGTGATGAGACAGGCAGCATGTATATTACCTGCATCCTGTAGAATCTAGAACAGTTAGGTGCATGTCGCAAGGTCATTGTCCCAAGGTATATGTCCCAAGGTTATCTGGGTCTAGTAGAAATTCTTGCTTTCCTTTTTTACCTTTAGATGTTCTCCTTTATTTTATAAGAACTAACCTGCTTTGCCCTCTTTTTTCTTTGTTTCCTAATTCTTGTGGTTTTGTGCTGCCTCGCAATAAAGCACTTGCAGTCATTTCTCCTAACAACGTTCGAAAGATTGTGTCCTGTATGACGGTTCTGCCTAATACTTTGGTGTTTCCGTCATCCCCCAGCATTTCTGTTTACTTGGAAGGTTAATTGTGGCCCTGGTGATGAAAATTAAGTGCACTTTGGAGCATTTCTTCCTACTTACTCTTCCCATCAAGTTAGCATTTTTAGACAATTACTGTTTTTCCCCTAAGTGATCTGGTGAAGCAGGCTGCACTTTGTTCTGTTGAGGAGTCTAACAGATTGCTAGGCACCTTTGGTGGCCCCTGGTGTGATAAATCTATGTATCTAGGAATGCAAGAGCGTGATGCTCAGGCTGTGCTGTCGCCCTTTCAGCTAGCAAAATGGCCTTTCTTTTAAGAGAACCTTGATCTTCCATGCTAATGTCCAGCACCAGAAGTTGCTATCACTCGCTTAGTTAAAATACTGTGATGGTGGGGCCAGCGCTGTGGCATAGTAGGTTAAGCCTCCGACTGTGGTGCAGCATCCCATAAGGGTGCCAGTTTTCATCATATTGCCTTATTTTCTTGGTAAATGTAATTCCCTGCTATTTGTTATTCATCCTCATCTCCAAGATAGCGTTTTCATCACTGTAGAGGCCTCAGGCAGGTCATTATTTTATTACATTGATTTATTTATTACAAGATGATTTTTCATCTAATTATTTTAATTATGTGGTTAAAAACATCACCTCTTCAGACAGCATGATGAGTGATAACTGATGTCCTGAGTACAATAACTTCTTTGTAGGTTTATCCCTTCTGTCCAGAAGCTTTTTGGACTTGTAAGATTCAAAAGCTAATTGCTGACTCCTCGTCGTTACGCACTGGACGTGGGGAGCATTAGGTCTGTTAAAGTATGAAGTAAATTATGGCAGCTGCAGGCATCGTCAGAACAGTCCTCTGAGTGCATGACAGCAGCAGTTTAGAAAGAACTCTGACTAAAATTAAGTAAAATTTTGTCCAAAAGCTGAGAATTTAATTTTGAAAAATAACAGTATTCTAGTTAGGATTTGTTTGAGTTTAGGTCTCAAGGCTTGTAATGTTGTCCCAGAACTGCTGGCAACAACAGGTAGTCCCTTTTGAATCACTTTCTTGCTTCAGACTTCAACAGGAGACTATTGTGGGGAGTCTTTTCCTTAAGGACCCAAGGGGCTTTTTCATTTTGCCTGCAATTCTTTTCTGTCCACCAGGGGGCACTCACCCAATTTGAGCTTCACTAATGCAAGTAATCTTTAAAGCTTTTGCAGCTTAACCTTTAAAATCAAAATTTTGTGGCAGCTCAGTGAGTCTCTTGGCAGAAAGATATCTGTCCCATCAATTCCTTATTTCTTCCAAGTGTATAGGATTAAGACCAGGTGTGCTATTCAAATAAACATTTGTTGAGTTTGTTGTCTTTCTGTAATTTATTAAAGATTTGAAAAGTTAAGTGCCAGAGAGAGAGGGGGACTGATACAAAAGAGAGAGATCTTCCATATGCTGGTTCACTCCCCAGATGCCTGCAACAGCTAGACAAGGGCCAGGCTAAAGCCAGGAGCCAGGAGTTCCATCCCGGTCTTCCATGTGGGTGACAGGGGCACAAGCACTTGGACCATCCTCTGCTGCCTTCTTAGTCACATTAGCAGGAAGCTGAATCAGAACAGAACAGCTGGGACTCGAAATGGTGCTCTGTTATAGGATGCTGGCATCGTGGGTGACTGCTTTAACAGCATCACAACACTGGTCCCAAAATTGTGGTCTTTATTTATTGACTTATCTTGGGTTTTGAGTAAGATTAGATTGCTAGTATAAAGCATTTAGGAAGGGCCTTGTGATTTAGTCATACATCTACACCCTCAACTAGGTTTATAAGGAGTCTTGCCCATGGAATAAGTAACATGCCTCCTTCAGGTCATGTCTCTATCAGCGGGGGTGTAAAAAAGGAACCTAAACTACCCTCACCTACTCCTCTACACCCCAAGCTTGCCCTTGCTGCCTGCCATCAGTCCACTGAATTTTACTGTGCCACTGTCCTCAGTTTATGTCACACACTGCAGGATTTATTATTATGGATTGTATTTAATATTGTGCCATTTATCTTGATTTATATCATTCATGACAGGAAGCCCCAGACACCCAGATCACTCTGTCTTCCATACTTTAACCTTCAGAAGGTTCTGTGTATTTTCTGTTCTTTCTCTTCTCATCCCACCTAAGCTCCGGAAACCATTCCACTGTGCCTCTGGAATTCATGGTCCGTTACTAGCAGAATCTCCTATATTGCCAGCTCTGCCTTGTTCCTAACAGGAACCTGGCTTTCCCTCAACACAGTTTTCCGTTTTGCTCTCTCATGTTGTTGTTTTTCTTTGCTCCTGGTAAGCCTCACCCCAGTGGGCCTGATGTTGGGATAGATGGCCTTCCTAAAAGCCAACAGTTTGTCTCATGACATCAAAATTCTTTGTGCTCTCATCCAGTAACACCCCAAAGTACTCCTTATTTTTCAGCCAGTTCAGCTCCTGGCTTATAGCCACTGTCTCTAATACTCCATTGCTACTTCTGACTTAATTTTCAGCAGTTTCTGTCCAGAAGGGTAAAACCGTACCAATATTCTGGCCTCATAATGCTTCTCTTTATCTTTCTTATACCCTGCCTCACACATTCCCTTCTATGTTCATCAATAACAGCCGCCCTGCCATGATGTTTCATACCATGCTTGTTCTTACTGTCTTTTATCTCCCTGTCTTTAGTATTCTGACCCCAGCATTTATCTATCCTGCTGGAATTTCAGATCCATTTTTCCTATCATGTTTTCCACTATCTTTTATCCATTGATGGGACTTCACTTTTCTCAGCCAAAATTCCATGATTAGCCATGATGATAATCATTCCGTTGACTTTTGTTCTATTAACTCGCTCTACTTTTACCACATTTGATTGACAGCACCACAATCCTGATTATGTCCGTCTGTGTGTCCACCTGTACCTACGTGTGTCCCACCTGCACCTACGTCCGGGCGGTTAAACATGGCTCGAAAAAGCTGCCTCGCTGACTTTCTCTTTGATATACTCGACTTTCAGACAGCAGACACCGTTGGTTTTCCTCCTGTCGCTGGCTCCTTTCTTCCTAGGCTCTCCTCTGCAGTTTGCCATACTGCTTGGCCCTTGATGCTGACAGGGAATCGTATTTTAAGCACTTTGAATGCATTTATTGCCTTAGTCCCCCCAGTGATCATTGCACACCTTTTCTGTCCCCAAAGGCTCAGCATCTCCCCCAGCTGCATTCTCAGTTGAGGATGTTTTTTTCTTCTTCATTGAGAAAATGGAAACAATCAGAAGAGGAACTTTAAAGGTTTTAACTGTTACTTTCCAACTTCTCTGTTACTGTGTCCTGTCCAAAGCCAGCATGATAGCCTCATTTCAACACATATATAGAAAACACAAAGTAAAAAAGTCTGCTACCTTTCTCCAGAGTAAGCATGGTTAATGTTAACTATGCCTTTTATATGTGTGTATTTCTAATCAAGAAGTGATGCTTTTCTCCTTTAGATCAGATGAGAAAATGTGGAAAATCAACACATAGCACCTTTGCATACTTGTGTTTCTACACAGCAACTTTTTTTTTCTCCCCAAAGAGACTTATTTATTTACTTGAAAATTAGACGTAAAGAGAGAGCTCTGCCATCCACAGATTCACTCCTCAGATGGCTGCAATGTCCAGGGCTGGGTGAGGTGGAAGCCAGGAGCTTCATCCAGGTCTCCCACATGGATGGCAGGGACCCAAACACTTGCGCTATCTTCTGCTTTTCTCAGGCCATTAGCAGGGAGGTAGATAGGAAGTAGAGCAGCTAGGACTTGAATTGGTGCTGATAGGGGATGCTGGCATTGCAGGTGGCAGCTTAAGCCACTGCACCACAATGCTGGCTCCTTTTGTACAATAAATTCTTCAGATTGCTGGGTATAGGATTGTACCAACTTAGACTTCTGCCAGAAATTTTAGTCTGACCAGTAGTGAGAGTGCTTCATACCCTATTTGCTTATCTGTAAATTAAAATGAACCC